GGGGGGGGGGGGGGGGGGGGGGGGGGGGTATCAGCCGCACTTTCAAGTTCGACATTACCGATGATCTCTGTAACGGTGTCAGGAGGCACACTCTCAGGTACCGCTACTATGGATATAGGGGATTGAATGACGTCAGTATTTATTCAGTTTTTTTGAACTCACGTTTTGTTGGGACTTAGTCAGAGATTTCAGCTTCCTTCTCAGTACGATGAAGTTGTTGGTTCTCCCGTGAGAGCTTGCATCGACTCGGCAGTAGGCTGAGCTTTCTAGCATTGCCTAAGTAGTTCGCGCCCTCGCTTCTCATTGGTCAGTGTCATTAATAACTCGTAAACAAAGCCGCAGATTGCATTTTCGCTAAGGAAAAATTTACTTAAAATGACCTTAGCCAGTTAGTTAGAATACTCCCCCCCCCCCCCATTTCCGTATTACGAGACATTTTTGGGATATCCTGTATGTAGGAGCCGAAGGTTAATAACCTCCGAAATCACAACACCAATCGATGCTCGTGGATTCCCGTGTGGTTAATCTTACGCAATATACATGTGCACGTATACGCAATCGTCGCAATTTAAACATCGCGATCCTGCTAGGACGATTGGCGCTGATCGAATGAAACGGCCAAATTCGAAGGAAGACACGTAACGGTCGATCAGCGCACCAATGAAAGGATGTGCTCGCAGAACTCGGGGCAGCACAACGAGAACGAGGACAAAAACGCGACGAACGTTGACATGCAATTTACGATCACGGTCACGAATACGATTACGATTACGATTTACGAACACGACTATGATCACAATCACGATTACGATTTGCGATGCGGATAACAATACGGAATTATATTACATCAAATACGACTTACGAACACGGTTTACGGTTTACGATTAAAAGGATTATTGTATATTGCTTTGCTATCTTTTTATATTGTATTTTGTGTGCGACACTCTTTAGTAATAAATAGAATAGTTACCAAAACATACTATTTCTTTATTTCATACGGATTGCATTTTCGCTAAGGAAAAAGTTACTTCAAATGACCTCAGGAACCTCACATTTCCCGGAAATAGAAAAATTTTCACTTCACAATCGGCACAATTAATAATTAAAACGACTGTCACGGTTAAGCTGCTTACTATTTCGGCTCCGAAAAATTAGTAAATATTCTTTAGACGTTCTAAAGTAAAGGTGAACAGCGTTTTTCTTAAAAATATCACTATTACGTAGTAAAAAAAATCCGGAAAGTTCACGCTCCGTGACTTGTTCAATACTTCGAACGCGGCTCGAATCTGTCCCGACCTTCTGTTAAAGTCTCGTGCTGCGGGCTCTCGAACTTCGCGCCCTCGCCTCTCATTGGTCACTGTTTTTCATTAATAACTCGTAAACAAGGCCGCTGATCGCGTTTTCGCTAAGGAAGAAGTTGCTTCAAATGACCTCAGGAACCCCTCATTTTTCGGAAATACGATAATTTTGAGTCACCCTATATAACCAGCAAGAAATTGCAATTTAATAAAGGAAACAAAAGTTAATCTTCAACAAAAAATTAGTGTCATCGTGATGTGTATCATCGACATGAATTCAACGACCTACATTATCATGATCTTTAGATGACCTCAAATTGATAAATCGTCGTTAATTTATTGCCACAATATTGAATTAATGCTTTATCTCCTCAAAATTTGTTCGTAATTGATAAAATTCTATTTCTGAATTTGCAGGTAAGCTGAAAAATGTGTGACCCTGTCATAAAAAGTACTAAAAAAAATTGAACGCACAGGTGGATTTTCGAGCAGCTACTATGGTTAAAGCAAAGCTGAGAAGGAACTTCTCGAGGAAAGCCTTACTTTGCAGCTAGCATTTGCCACTATTAAGGTTTTCAACCAGATCTCCCAGCATCCTAACCCTTTTACGACTTTTTTCCAGAAAGTAGGAACGTCCATCACCTATAACAAATGGGATTCGATGATACTAATGAATTACCGTTGGCAATCCAATTGGAATCGTCCAATCCCATTTGTGAGGAGGTTACTTCTCCGCCACTTGGAGCAGATTCCGAGCAGAATCACTAACACCATTGGACACACTGAGTCCAATCAGTCACGAACAGTCACGAACAGTCAGAATGCTGGGAGGTCTGTTCTCAACTTCCTTTTAAAACTCGATGCACACCATATGTGACTTTGATGAGCTTCATCAAGACATGACAAAACAACAAAACCTGGATATTTGCAATCTCTCTATTCATCCCTGGTATTTATTAAAAGTAGATGTAATAGGTCACAGACAGGCGGATTTGTCAATTCCCATTTAATGGCACGCCTCGATTCCACTCATTCCTCGATTTTTAAAATTTAAATTTTTTTGAAAACATATTTTGACATGAAAAAAATTTCTTTTGTATTTTCAACTTATTTTTTAATGTACAGTCATCTTCTTTTCAGTTGTTCCACCGATCATTCTGTATCATGAGAGATATTAAAATTTCAATTTATATTGTTAGGCCACTTATTTAAACACAGTTTTATATATTTGTACGAGTATAACTTTATTATTATTTGTGTCTATTTATTTTACAATGTATTACTTTTTAACACATAAATTCAAATTTATAACATAATGTTACTTGCAAGCGAGTTGAGTGTTTTGAGGTCTGAATAAATTGTTAGTTCCCGCCAAGTGGGTTCAATATATGTATCTTCTGGGAACGTCATATATACCGGTTCGTCGAAGAATTGTCCAACTTTCCATCCTGGCAAATTTTTCATTAACTCAGCTTCTTTCTCCCGTATAAGTCTCATATGTTTTAGTATCCTATTAACAAAAGAAATGAACCATTAAACACAATACTAATGATATCTGATTTAAACCATCTACACACTCCAGAAATAGTTGCACTT